ACATAAAGATACAGAAAAGGTGGTAGTAATAGATACATTATTAAATAGAAAGAATAAACAAAGTAACAAACAACAAGTGTTACAGAGGTTGGGGAGAAAAGGGAACCCTAGTGCACTGTTGGTGGGAATGCAGACTGGTGCAGCCACTATAGAAAACAGTATGGAATTTTCTCAGAAAACTAAAAATGAACCTGCCTTTTGACCTGACAATTCCACTGCTGGTATTATATCCTAAGAACCCTGAAACACCAATCCAAAAGAACCTATGCACCCCAATGTCCATAGCAGCACAATTTACAACAGCCAACAGCTGGAAGCAACCTAGGTGCCCATCAATAAATGAATGGATCAAAAACCTATGGTACATTTACACAATGGAATTCTATGCAGCAGAAAAAAAGGAGCTCCTATCCTTTGCAACAGCATGGATGGAACTGGAGAGCATTCTGTTAAGTGAAATAAGCCAGGCAGTGGAAGACAAATACCATATGATCTCACCTTTAACTGGAACCTAATCAACAAAACAAAGAAGGAAGCAAAACATAAACAAAGACATTGAAATTAAGAACTAACAGTAACCAGAGGGGAGAGGGGAGGGGATAATGGGAGAAAAGGGTGAAGGGTTTATAGAAACAACTTTAAAGGACACATGGACAAAAACAAGGGCTGGTTGGAAACAGGGGAAGGAGGTGGGGATGGCAGGGGTGGTGGGGAGGGGTTGAGGGGAAAAGGCAGAAAACTGTACTTAAACAACAATAAAATTCAAAAGGATTTAATAAAAGGAAGAGAGAAGAAAGTCATGATACACAGTTTGGTTTATGTGGACTCTAAAATAATTTCTGATATGAATATCCTAATAACATAAGCTCAAAATAAATAATACAAAAATTGCAAATTATACAAAGATTTTAAAGCATGATCATAGTGAAAGATAAGCAAATATCTCTCTCAGTAATTGATAGTTCACAAGATAAGGAATCAATGGCATAATACTTGAATAACATATTAGTATATTTCATTAAGTACACATACAAAACCCTGCTCTCAACAATAATGTTTCCATATTTTCTCAAAAATAAATAGAACTTTTTATGCAAAGTTACGTTATTATAGGCTGCAAGGTAAGTTTCTATATCCTGAACCATAGAAAATTGCTATTTGTAAATTAAAAACAGTTGAAAACCACCAATTACATACTATTCAATCAAATACAAATTTCAAATACTTTATAGATTAAGATTTCTCACGACAATCCAATTTAATGGGAACTCAGTACCCTCTCCCACAAAATTTCAATCCCCATATATTTGAAATGTTGAAAATACCTCTCTAAGGAACTGAAAGGTCACAGAAGAAATTATAGTAGTGAAAATTGTAAAATTTAGAAATAAATGTTGACTATTATACCTATCAAAACTGTGGGACCTAGCAAAATTGATGCATAAAACAAAGAAAACCTATAGCCTTGAATGCTAATTTGTAAAGTCTAAATATTAATGACTTACCTCTCCAATTTCAGTAGTTAGAAAAATAGCAAAATTAGCCTCAAAAAGTAAAGAAATAATGAAAAGCAGGAAGTGGTGAAATAAAAAAGTTATATAGTGAAGAATAACAAAGCCAAAAGTTAGTTCAGCTTTGACAAACCTGATAAACTAGTAGTAGGCAAACCTGATCACAAGACAGATGCGGTGCCCTGGCTGGGTGGTTCAGTAGGTTGCAGCGTCATCTGAGACACCAGGATTGCAGGTTTGATCCCCGGTCCGGCAATCCATCAATGTTTGTCTCACACCGCTGTCTCTCTCTCTCTCTCTCTCCCCCCTTCCTTTCTCTCTAAAGTCAATAAACATACCCTTGGGTGAGGATTAAAAAAACAAAGACAGAAGTAGAATGAGAGAGAGAGAGTGAGAGAGAGAGAGAGAGATGAAGAGGTCACAGATACATATAATTAGAATGAAATACAACTACAGATAGAGTAAGGCCTAAAAGATTTAGAAGACAATATTATTAATAACTTTACACAGACAAATTGGAAAGCAAGTGAAATGAACAAATTCTACAATAATTTTAATTCTTTAAACAAACTAAAATAAACAAGCTCAAGAACAACAACACCCCAGAAGCTGAACATTTCTACAGCTACTGAAGAAAATGAATTAACCATTTGGGAAAAAAAATCTCACCAAGAAAACACCCAGCCCAAACAGTCGTACGGGAGAGAAAAGGAACAAACCTTGATCCCCAGTTCGTTCTGTGAAGCTAATACAACCTTAACGCCAAAGCCGACAAAGGCAATTACAAGAAAAGGAGATTACAGATAAATCTCACTCATGATAATAAACACAAAATGTACTGTATCCCATAATACCAAACTGAATCCAGTAACATTTCTAAAGGTTTCTGTCATAAACACATGGTTAGTTTAACAAGAGAGGAATCTGTTCATTTCATTTACTAAATTAAAGAGTAAAAGAGGAAAATGGTATGATCCTCTCAATAGATGGAGAAAAAAGTATTCAATAACATTCAACAATTCATGAGAAAAACTAATAATATGCCAGAAATGGAAGAGCACATCCTGTAAGTTATGAAGAATGCCTATAAAAACCCTAGAGCCAGCATCACGCTCAATGGTGAAACAGTAAAAGCATTCTCTATGAAATCAGTAAGTCTACAAAGCTGTGACCTCCATTTCCAACGCTTATTGGAAGTTCGGTCCATTTGTATGAGCACATGGACAAACACACAGAAACACACACAGGTCTATAGGCCTTGCAAGAAGGAAGTAAAATTCCAACACTCTATTATTTATATCAATTGTCTTCATGGAAAATCTCAAAGAATCAATACATTTATAAACTACTTGGAATTAAAAAGAGTTTAGAAAGGTTTTTTTTTTAATATTTGCTAACACAAAAGCCAACTACATTTGTGCAAACCAGCAATAATGTTAGAAAAGGTACATTTTTTAAAAAGATACCATTTACAACCCTGGCTGGTGTGGCTCAGTTTGTTCAAACACCGTCCCGTAAACTAAAAAGTAGTGGTTTCGATTCCCAGTCAGGGCACATACCAAGGTTGTGGGTTCGGTTTCAGGTTGAGTGTGCAGTAGAGAATCAATGTTTCTCTTTCACACTGATGTTTCTCTCTCCCTTCCCCTCCCTCTAAAATCAGTAAGCTTGTCCTCAGGTGAGGATAAAAAAAAGATACAGTAACTTAATTACAGTAACTAAAAATAAGTTAATTATAAATAATAAAGAATTATAATACTTCCAACACAAGATATATAAGACCTTTATGAATAGTATTTTATTAAAAGATTAAAGATCTAAATAAATATGGAAAAGTCCCATGTTTACGGATGAGAAAATTATCTGAAGGGCATCAGTTCCCCTCCAAATTCAATCTACTGATACGATATAATTCCCTTCACAATCCCATCAAGGTTTCTCAAAGAACTTGAAGAGCTGATATTAATATTTATCTGGAAAAGAAATGGACAATGGCCAAGTTACTGCTGTAGAAGAAAAACAATGGACGAGTAGGGGGCTGAGAAACTTGTCCTACCAGATATCAAAATGATTTTAAAGTTATAATTATTAAGACCACAGATGTGGCATTGGAATAAAGAGTTTGGGAAGAAACCCACACATGTACAGAAAACTGATATACTACAGAAATGGCACTTGAGACTAATGGGGATGGGATAAATTATTCAAGAAATGTAAGGACTTCTAGATAATATAAAATTGTATATCTTGTGTCATACCAAAATTCTAGATAAATTAATAATTTAAGTGTGAAAGTAAAAACATGTAAACTTCTAGAATATGTTGAAATGCATTAATGATCTCAGGATACATATAACTAACAAAGAATTAATATCTAGGATATATGTATAAGGAACTCCCATGAATCAATAAGAAAAATACAAACCACCCAATAGAAAATGGACAAATATTTTTTAAAGGCATCTTAAATAAGAGAAAAGAAATGGCTCATAAACATATGAAAAGACACTCACCCTCTTTGGTATTTAGGGAAATACAAATTAAAAGAAAAATAAGATACCCATTTGTTGGCTAGCATATGGAGCAATGGGAACTCCCATAGCCTGCTGGTGGAAGCTTATTGGTTGCTACTACTCTGTAAACATGGTGACGTCAGTAAAGCTGAACATGCCCATGCTCCATGACCTGGCAACTCAATACCTAGAAATAGACCCTAGAGAAACTCTTGCACATATGTACCAGAAGACATGTACGAGAATGTATTCTCTTACTTGGTCAAAATTAGAAATTAACTATGAAATGTTTAATTAAAAATCACACAATATATTCATCATCCAAAATTAGTATTTAAGGGGCACATATTCTTTTCATGAACTTCTTATTCATTAACTGCTGAGTTCATTCATTAATACCAGTAATATCCTTTTGTAAATGCAGAGATGAAACATACCTGGCAGGCCAATTTTAGGTATAGCATGAATGACTTTGTTCACACTGACAGGCCTATGCACTTTAATCATGAAAGACCGTATCAAGCATTTATGAGTGAAAATCCGTTTTGAAGATTACTTCAATTTAACCAGGATTAAAAGTAAAACTTCTATCCTTATAATTATTGAGTGAAGTAACTTTGATTTTAACACCTTACTTAATCAGAAAATACACGGAGGGAGACAATGACAGTGCGGGAAGCCCTATGTCCTGTGGTCGTCCTTAATAACCACCCATTTTCAAGAGCCTATAATCTGCTCAGTGGGAAGCATTCTACCAAGGACCTTAATCAGATTCTGAGAAAATTCACGATCAAGATAAACAATATGCCATAAAGCCAAAACAATGGAGGTATTAGCAGCTATACAAAATGTTAGCTCTACCTGATGAGTCACTTCTAAAGTGATTAAAGTCTGTCTCTGAAGTGGTTTCTATTCAAGCTGAAAATATATAAAGGTAGGAATCATTTACAAAGCAGCTTGAGAAATTTTCTTCCTTTTATACATCCTGGTTTGACTCTATGCAAACATCGGACTAATGGCAAAAATGAGTCTCTCTTCCTACATGTTAATACTAACTTTTTCTTTGCTTTCTCAAGGCGTTAAACTTTCGGCATCCAAGTCCATAAGAAATTTAGAAGATGACATGGTATTTAATACACTGAGGCTGGGGAAAGCCTTTCAGAAGGAAGATACTGCGGAAAAATCAGTCGTTGCTCCTTCCCTGGAACAATACAAAAATGAGGAGAGCAGTTTCGTGAATGACGAGGAAAACAAAAATTCAAAGGTGAGTGGCAATAGCATTTGTCTTTTATTTCAATGGATATTTGAATGATTTTTATGAATATTTTTAAAGATGATACTTCATTTTACAAACAGAAGCAGGAGCAAATAATCGCAATATGCATTCGGACAACTGATGAAATTTTATACATACCAGACTGTCCTTTCATCCTGAACAACTCTTATCCAAAAGGCTTATTTCCGTAAAACCTTGCATCTAAGATACTGCATCTTTGAATTAACCAATAAGAATACTATGTAATATGTATTACATTACCACTTCCAGTAAGACAGCTAAAAATGCAAATCAACCTTCTCTTTACAGAACTCAGGCTCCAAACATAATTTCTTAAATCATGGTCTGCCACTGAATCTGGCTATAAAACCTTATCTTGCACTAGAAGGATCTGTAGCTTTCCCACCTGAGCATGGAGTTCAGAGTGCTGAATCAACGCCAGAAAAGAGAGAGATTGGGGATGAAGAAAACGCAGCTAAATTTCCTATAGGAAGGAGAGATTTTGACAGTGAGTAGTCCTTTAAAATTCAATTCCTATATCTTAGTACCATTAAATAGAACTCTGAGTTTAACTAAACTTAGATCCAATCATACCAAAATTAAATAAGACCATGGTTCAATTACATTTGATATTAAGTGACCCCTGCAAAATACATGGAATTAAAAAGCATTTAATTAGATATTACAGTTTTGATTTACATGGAATTAGCTATACTAGATCCAATATTTTCATTTCTAATAAATTGCATGTGATGGTAGTAGTCATGCAAATAATTTAAACTTTTGTTTTCCTTTCAGTGCTTAGGTGTATGCTGGGAAGAGTCTACCGACCATGTTGGCAAGTCTAATAGTTGTTGGGCCACATCATCTCAGAAGAAAACAACACCATTTAATTGCCTGTGGACGAAAAGCCCTTAATGTTACTGTGACTTATATTATTTTAAAAGTCTGCTTTAAAAGAAAGCAGTATTAAGAGATATATGTGACCTACATGATATGCTTTATCTGTGCATTAAACTTTGTGAATATTCTGCATTATTATGACTTAGTAGTATTTTTAAACAATGTTTCACATACTAACCTCACGTACACTCCACACCGAAATAAATAAAGCATCATAATTCTACCCTGATCTCTTACAAATGAAGTAAATGTCTTTGAATGGTTTTATTGTATACATAAATCTAAAGCACATAAAAGACAGATTCATAGTCTAAAAAACTGAGTTAACTTTGTCTGGCCAGTAATCAATTTGTCCTTGGCAGTACACTTGTTGCGTTTTGCTACTCTGGCTAGTTTGCCATCCAATTTATTCTGCAAATCGTTTGATGTCTTAGGTATCTTAACATTTTTATGTTGAGATGGTTCATTTTCATTATCACAGAGAATGTTTTCATCATCTAAATCCACCTGTTTCCTTTTTGAGCTTTTATTTCCTGTCTGACTACTTGATTTTCTCTCTACTTTTGCATTTTTACTTCTGTCCAGATGAACATTTCCAGAACTTGTTCCAATTGTTGGTCTTCCAACAGATGAATTTACACTGTCTGTTATGCAAGATGAAAAAAGAAAATGCGTTATATAATACTTACTAGTATTAGATATGAGAATTTTGTAATAAACTTTAAAAATAGCTAAAGAATATTTAAAAATTTATGATTTGCAATGACATACTGCTATAAATTACACAGTTAACAACTACAACTATAGTCCTGGCTGGTGTGGCTCAGTAGATTGAGTGCTGGCCTGTGAACCAAAGGATCACAGGTTCGATTCCCAGTCAGGTCGCAGGCCTGGGTTGTGGGCCAGGTGCCCAGTAGGGGGTGCATGAGAGGCAACCACACACTGATGGGTCTCTCCCTCTCTTTCTCCCTCCCTTCCCCTCTCTTTAAAAATAAATAAGTAAACAAACAAATAAATATTTTAAAAAACAAACCCAACTATATTATTATCATATTACTTTTCATTTCACCATTTCATTTTTCATCCCTACAACTACCTGCTTTGTTTTAATGCATGACACATAATCCTGACATGCTATAAGTTATTCTTTAAATACATTTAGTCAAATCAAACTGTCCTATTCCTATCTATCCATTTGCACTTAGATTTCAATTCTTAAACAAACCTATCTTTAAAAATATACGCCATTATGTTTCACATTTTACACTTTGCAAAACAAAAATCTAGTTTTACCTAAGTTAAAACCAATTAGTACGCTGCGATTAAAGTGTTATTTAATTGCTCAAATAAGGTCAATTACCAGAAAGGTCATCTTCCACGTGAAGGACCTGGGCCGGCTTTGATGCTGAGTTAATGTTGATCCATGCATTCCTGCTTATCGGGCCGTCATCTTTGTAAGTGCAAGCAAACTGGGATCTAATTAAGGTTTGCTTCATCTGGTGATGGGAAGAAAGAAGAAAATAAGCAATTTGTTCTTTATTTTTATTCATTTTTTCACCTAGGTTGAAATACACTTAATAGTAAGCATAATCAAGGATCATAAATTTTCCCTTAAAAATACCATTATTCATTGAGAACTTCTAACACCCGATGTTTCATAGTTTGCAAATTCATTCATTGTTACAACTATCATTTTGATGCACTTTAATAATATCAGTTTTATGTATATTATTCATATTTTTGTAAGTTTAGAAATATTAATTTTGGACTCTTCTGAGGCTTTTCTTAGAAATTCCTGTGTCTGAACTGCTTTGGAAAGTAAGTTTTATGATAAGTTTAATAACAATATACATGATAAGCATATTCCTAGAAAAATAAAAGTTCTTCATCGTAAGAATTACTGAGTACAACTCCTTTAGGAAAAAAACAGCATATGTAATTCAATAAATTGAGAAACTGAGGAAGGGAGAAATGGTCGGATGGAAAAGCGAACTAAGAAAGTGAAAGAAACATGGAAAACTAACCAAGAAATGAACTGAAAGAAAACAAAAAGGTGACCGAGAGACATTATTTCTTGATTAAAAACTTGAATATTTAAGAAAGTAAGAAAGATGACTCAAATACATCATTCTAGGAAAATCTGACCAAGTCATTTAAATGGTTGAATATTCAAAATACACTCCTGCATTTATCTTCAAACATCATAAATGAGAAAATTAGAAAGCTAAATTTAATTCTTAGTCACAAAGAAGGATGCCAGGAAAGTAGTTTTGGAAATGTATTCTGCAAACATAAACCCAGTGGCTGTGTTAGGGATAGAAATTAATTGCAGAACAAATTAATCTATACAGATAATGCAAATTTCAACAGTTACACCTGATGTATAATGCCACTCAGTTATAATGAGATTTCTCCAAACCTGAAATCATCCCCATTCCTTTTCAGAAATAAAGTTTAAATTTCAAATAAATGATTAAATAAAGAAGACTGCACTTCGAAGTACAACTACATTATGCTGCTGATTACTTACAGAACATTTATTGATACAGTTCTTAAAGTCTAAAACAGCACAACTTTATTTTATATATTCAGTAGTCATATAGTTTGTTATATATTCAGAGAGATTGATACAGGGTGCAGCCAGGGGGGCCCCCCAAAACAGATTTGGAATGGTGTCCAGAATTCAAAGTGTATAGAAATATTGGAGAGACATATAAGATGTCCTCACTGCCCCCCACCCCAGGGGGAAGGGATGAATGGAGCCAGGCCATTGAGAGCTATTTTGCATAGCAATAGTTTTGGAGCTAACCTCTGGAGGAATGGTTATTTAACATATCTATAACCTTTAACTGGTTTCATAGATATGTTAAATAGCAGTGGCAAGTTTGGAGCCAGGCAGAAGGGAGAAGGTAGTAGCTGGGACTCAAGATGGGATCTATGAGCTGCTCTCCTGAGTGAGGAGGGCTTGGACTCAGGATGTAACTAAGGGCTGCGCCCCTGAGTGGAAGGGCCGCTGTGTGGGAGCTTGGAAAAGACTGGCTCCAGGACATGAAGGGTCCCTGCTTGGGCAGATGGGGGAGAGCCACGCGGTTTCAGCAGAGTAAGGACCCCCTGTTGGTGGGGTGAAAGAGGGAGCCACGTGGTTTTGGCGGAGTGTGGACCCCCTCTTTCCCAGGTGAAAGGGAAAAACCACGCAGCTTGGCCAGAATGGAGATCCCTGCAGCCAGGTGAAGAAGACAGCCACATGCTTTTGGTGGAGTGCGGACTCCTGCAGCTTTGGTAGAAGAGGCCCACGCGGCTTTGGGGTGCCCCCCTTTGGCCGCAGGGCCTGAAAAGCACAGAGACTTTGACTGGAACTGGGTACAAAGGACTCTTGCCAGTGGACTATGAGAGGGTACCACAGTACTTTGGATTAACTCGAGATCCTGCACGGTGACACAGCTGACGGTGCCGGCGGCCTGCAACACAGACGTGTGCTCTTTTCCTGATTTACGGTACCTGGAGTTGGGACAGTGGGAGAAGGGAGCGCTGTGTGGGTGTAGGTGTACAACCTAAAGGACTTTGATATTTTAGTGGTGGCATTAGGCCTGAATAGCATTAAATAAACATTTTGTTTCCTTTTCACAAATCTCTGGCATTAAGAGATGTGTTTCCAATTGGCGGCGGACAGAAGGGCCCAGTAGATTTTAGTATTTTGGTTTTTGGGAGGGGCCCCTGTTGTACAGCAGTTTTGGGCATCCCTAGGTGGGCCAAATATTGTATTGCCCCTCCCTTGGACCTCCTCCTGTTGTTCGGTAACAAGATCACTGAATTAACCCACTCAGATCTTTGCAAAGATAATGGTGGTGAAACCCACTGACTACGGTTTAGGAGAAGTTAGAGCAGCGTCCAGTCCAGCTGCTTTACAAAATCCCATTTTCTCAGGGCGACACATTTTATATCTTTCTAATTAATGGCATCTATGAGATCCTACAGCTTCCAGATTACTAAACATTACATTTAATTAAGATTTAGACCATTGGGAATCTATCTTCCACTTAAGCACAAAAACATATAAAATTTTTTAAAATGTGAAAATGTAAAAGGTCAAAACTATTTTTTTAAAGTTAAATAGAAATAATAGAACTACAAGCCATATTTTCATGAATCCACATGAATGCAACTACCATTATATAATTTCCCCCACGAGATGCCCTAAAATAGAAGTAAAGGTTTTAACTAGCCCTCTCTGGACTTTGCTAATTCCATACATACAGAATTAAAGCAACTGACAACACTATTAAATGAATTTTGAGGCAAATGGGTGCTAAGTGGCTGCCTAGGCCGCCCCACAGCACCCAGACGGCGCAGACACCTGGGGGCTGGAGCCCCCCACCACGAAAGCCTTCATCAGCACCATCCAGGAAACGTTCCTAACAAAAACACAATGATAGTGACTACCACTGATGTTTTCCCAATCTCACATTTAGCATAAATAAAAATGTCTTTAGAATGCTGTGTTGTTTTACTTCTATCAATTTTTAACATACATCAAGGTAAAGGACCTTTCTTTGTTATGTAAACACCCCCTTATTATAACTAGATTTCCTCTCGCCAGGCCCCCCCACTGAGCAGTTCTGGAGCCCATAGTGACATCAGAGCAATTTCAGAAAACTAGACTTGCAAGGCAATAGATTGTTTAAATCCTGAGAATGGGTTCAAGTATGAAAGGAAAATAGTTAACTCCTCTTTCTGCAATGAAAAATATTTTTTATAAACATAACATAAGAGAGAATCACAATAGTTCTATGGTAATCCTGGAATACTTATGTCCAAAAGAAATAACCTAGAGAAATACCTTGAGGGTCATTTTTTGTTTTTATACAAGATTACATATAGGTTTTGTTTCCCCAACCCTATACAAAAAATCTCTTTTATTAATTACCACTTATTAAGTCCCAACTCTAGGATAGGCACATGTATATTAAAAGAATACTAGGATGGCTTCTATAATCACAGACATTCTACTTACATTTGCTGTTGACACACAGCTGGAAGGAATAATAAATAAATTGGATAACAAAATCAAGATCGAAAAGATCTCAGACGACTAGAACCATAAGTAGAAAATAATAAGATGAAAATGAGTGAGGATAAACAAAGTTCTGTATTTAAGTTCGAAATATCAATTGCAGATGTACAGGATGAGGAGAGCTTAACTTAAAAACAACATATGAAAAAGATCTAGAAATTTTAATTGATCATGAACTTGATTGGAGCCAACAATGTTAAGGTCCAGCTAAGAAATCAGCACGAAAAGCAATGATGTGATGGGAAAGGCACCAGATTTGCAGTCAAAACACCTGGCTTCTAATACTGGCTCCATCATTTATTGACTAGAGGATAAACAAAATTTCTCAGCCACATATGTATCTCACAGAACTGTAGGGATTGAATGACATTAACAAATATGAAAGGGCTATATAAACTCGAGAGATCTATGTAGATACTATGCAGTTATTACTGTAATATCAAATATGAAGACAGTATTTCTACAGAGTGAAAAATCTGTTGAATTTGATTTCTCAAGACCAGGCCAACTCCAAAATGATTCTAGGAATGCAGCTCAAAAAATGAGCTTACAATCCGCATCTTCATTTTAGTTATTAAAACAATACAAGCTACATTAGCTTGTATTTATAACTTAAAAGAGAATGCTTTCCCTTTGTTCATAAAAGTTGAATTTTTCTGCACAAGATTAGTGGCTACATAGAATTGAGATTACTTCCTGTTGCAAATCTTCCAAATCTCTCTGTGTATTTGATTTGGAATCACAAATAAGCAAAACAATTCCCTCTTGAAAGTGCTTTTGAAGTACTAAACAACTAAGAATAATGTCCAGATTCATACATGGCTGTTAAAACCATTTTATGTTCAAGTCACATGAGAGAAAAGGATTGCAAGTTTTCCTTTGTAGAGTGATTTCCCCCCTTTGGAAAGATTTCTATCCACAGTAAAATTGCAATGAACTTCAAACTTGCCAAGAATTGGAGAAGTCCTTTTGCCACAAGCTCTTTTCAAATTGAAATTATTAGTAGGTTCCCAGTTTGAGGAAAATAGTACTTCACATAGGAAAGCCTGACTCCAGTTGAAACGAATGAGTCAAAATATTGAAAAGTTGCAGACACTCTCGGAGTATTATTAAGAAAAGCAAAGTTCTAAGCCACTATACTGATCAGTAGATCAACAAGTTTGAAAAAGGAAATTATTCTTCATGTACCCTTTAAATATGTAACTAAAAATAAACACTCTAAATATATCTTTTTGTTCTTACATTATCACACTTTCAAAAGAACAGATTTGCTACCCTTATGGTATATGAATTTATAAATGCAGCGAATGATCCATTGTTTCTTCGGTGACATTTCACTTACTTTTGCTAAATAGAAGATAATATTTGCAGCCTAAGTAGAAGCATTGTCTTTTTATGACTCCTCATTATAACTACTATACCTTA